TCTCTCTCTCTCTCTCTTGTCTTTCTCTCTCCTCACTCTTTACTAAGCATGTCCAACAACAGTAAACTCTTGTGTCCAGCCTTTGTCTTCTTTGGATGTGTTCTTGTCTAAAGAACAGCATTCCTCTTGTCTCTTGGTTTCCTTTTTGCATTTTGATTAATCAGACACAGGCCTCTACCAAGTCTTTTGTGAAATACTACTACTGTACTCACAAAAAAACAACAAAAAACTACATTGCATTGGGTTTGACAGTGGTTTGTACCCTTCCCGAGACATTGGCTGATTCCTGAAGTTACTACATGAATTTTAAGAATAGTTTTTTTTTCTACAAGTCAAATGTCAGGTTCGTCTCCAACGGATGCAACTCAAGTGTTCTATCCCTCGGAAAATTTATTTTAATCAACATCTGAACTGGCTCTTGACAGGCTTTTCTGAAGTCCTTTTTTACGGTTCAAGTGCTTTTACTTGTAGGCATTAGCTTGAGTTTTTTTCCCGATCAGATAGGCTTTAAACTCAGTGCCATGTCTACATTTTGATTTCCATTTGGTACTCTAGAATAAATGTACAGGCAGAACAGAGGGTGACTTAGAGAAACAAGTGAGACAGAAGTGAAACTGAAGGATATTGGCTACTCCTATTTACAATTTTAAGCTAGTATGAACTTTTGCGGTGGTTTTGAGTTAACTGGTAACAAGTTGTAAATTTACAACTCTACGTAACCTCACCTGCACGTGGCTCTGAGAGTTTCCCCCCTCACTGATCATTTTTGGCCCCTAAAACTTACCTATTATTGACCCAATAAAACCTCGGTTTTTACCTGTGGTGTTAAAATTAAAAATGTACGCATGTCAGTACTGAATGTGACTAACTGTCTTCCCCGCTTCCTGTCCCTTCTCCCTCCCTCCAGATCCGGGTGGTGAATGCATTCCGCAGCTCCATCTCCCTCTATGAGGGGCTGGAGAAGCCCGAGTCGCGATCATCAATCCACAACTTCATGACCCACCCCGAATTTCGGATAGAGGACTCTGAGCCCCATATTCCCCTCATAGACGACACCGACGCAGAGGACGACGCCCCCACCAAGCGCAACTCCGCCAGCCCCCGCAACACCACGCCCACGCCTCCCTCACCCACGCCCGCCACCGCCGCCCCCACTGCGCCGGTCTCTCCCTCCCCAAACCAGAACAATAACGCTGTGGAGAGCAGTAACCACCTCCTCCCAGAGGGCCCCAAATCAGGAACCCCCTCGGCCCCAGGGAGCCCGCTACACAGCCTGGAGACCTCCCTTTGATCTGACCCCGCTCCACCACTTTTCTGCCCGCCACCAAGGAGCTCAACTCAAACAAAAACGAACGTACACTTGGAGAGGAGAGACAGAGGGCTAGAAGGAGAACGGAGTCTTGTGTGAGCTTGACTTGGGCTGGACTAAAAGAACAGCAAACATTCAGAGGAATGTACGGCTTGGTGTGGATGCTTTGGTCTTCTTTTATTTTTGGTTCTTATTAATACCCCACTGCAACACAAGGACTCTGTCTCCACCCCTCCCTCCTTGGTAACTTTTTGTTTTTCTCGGTAAACAAGGGGTGATTATAAACTCAGATTGAAAGTGACCTGTTTTTATTATTCTATTGTTATTATTATTTTAATTGAGAAGGGGAGGTCCTCCTCCTGGCTTGAAGATCGTCTGTAAGATTTATGAAAGAACCTTTAGCTTCTCTTTTATCTGAATGGTGTTGTATATTTATCTCTTTGGCCCTTGCTCATTCAAAACTTATTTCTGCTCCATTGGCTGTTAATATTTTGAGTTATTTATGTTTTTGGAAAAAGCAGGTCTGTTTACAAAGTTTGTAGATACTTTTTTTCTGTTTGTAGGCAAAAGAGCTTCCTGATGTATGATGCAGAAAACTGGGACAGAATAAAAAAATGAATGAGAGGATTATTTCAGATACTGCTGTATTTTCAGGAAAAAAGGGTGTTTCTATTGAAACTTAACTATTTTTGCCTGCAAGTTTTATTTGTTATATATTTGTAGATAAATGTAGAACCTTCTAGCCAAACCGATAAACACTAAGGCTTGTATAGAAAAGAGGTCCACGGGGCGAGGTGTTTTCACAGGAGACGGGGACGGGAAAGACGATTAGGGCCTCTGTCCACTAACATTGCTATAAATATTTACTTCTTCCATTTCTTCGATAGTTTTCATGTGCACAAAACCTTCTGGAGTTCTGGATTCTCTTTTCATTCATTATGTTGTGTTCAAGGATTTCCACATGTTGAAAGGTTCACTCGTTTAAAGGGAGTATATATATATCTTTGGGCCCGTATTTAGCAAGCATCTCAGGATGACACCTGGAATCATGCTGAAAGTCTTACCTCAGAGTCGGGCATGAGGGTCCTTATGAGGTCTCCTGCAGTCACTTTCAGCAGGAAGGTTTTTTGGGGGGTTTTACAACAATCTTTTTAAAATAGAAACATCTTGTAGTAAATATTGGTTACATTTAAAAAAAAAAGGCAGATCCTGATTATTTGAAGCAGGGGGAAAAAAAGAAATTGGCTACTGTTGTGGGTGTGTGACAAGCTAATGTTTGCACATTCAGTCTAAAAATTAGTTTTTGCCAAAACTCATAAAATCACTAAAATGACTTTGCAGCTTTTTCTTATGACGACTTGAGTTCATATTAGCGCTTTGTTGTGGGGTATCCAGCCAGTGCGCCCTATTTATTTTTCAACAATTAGATCAAATAGACGAAACGTGAATGTGCCTTGGCTACAATAACAATTTAGATGACGCTTTGTCCCATCGTTTGCCATCTGCAGGCAACTGTTACTCCTACAGCTAAACGTAGGACCGAAGAAGCCTCATTCTGAAAATCCTGGGCCGGTTATGACAGAGTTTCTCTCCCTGGATGCTTGATAAATATGGATCCTGGTTATCATTTGTGAAATATTGGTGCATTTTTTATTTATTTTTTTCAGCAAAACATTAGCACCCCCCCCCCCACCAATGTACAATATTAACATTCGTTTACTCAGGCATAGAAAAAGTATTTAATTTAAAAGGAATCTATAAAGAAACAACCTTTTAACTTCAGACTTTGTGTATTTAGATAGTAAAACAATGTCTTGGTCAAAAAGCAAGTGAATTATTTTCATATTTCATTCAATCTTTAAGATCACGCCTTAGGAAAAAACTTAATTTTACTCCTCCGATTTCTGGTTTGTTGACATTTTAAAAATCAAAAATGTGGGGAAAGGCTTTTTTTTTTTTTCCTTTTTTTTTTTTTACCCTGTCCATAAGACTCCTTTCATCATGAATAAATGTTGCTGCATTTGATTTGTTTGTAAAATATTTTTGACACCTGATGTACTGGAAACGCTAAAGAATTGGATGTGCATTTTTTCAAGAATAAAGACTAGGCATACACTGGTATCTATCTGCACAGGGTACTTTATTTCATAGCGTTCCTTGGGGAAAAATGAATTTTGATACAAAAGCATAATTAAAAAAGTGTACCTTTGTATTTTTATGACAATACTGATGATACCTTTCATCGTACTAAACCAATTTTGGATGATTTGACACCAATCACGTTATATGGGGAGGGTTTTGGCCACTAAAAATGTGTGTTGTTCTGGAATATTCATCTCAGGGTGCAAACGGTGTGAAAGAGAACAGGCCTCTTTTTAGTTTGTATATTACCACACTTAATTCAATGTTTGGGACGTTTGCTTGTCAACCACACGGGATGACTCGGGCAGCAGGCTGCAGATTCTTCCTGCAGCCTTCTGGCCGTCTTCACCTGAACGGCCTCGGACAGGGGAATGAAGTGCAGATGTTAAATCACAACGTTCTCTGAGGAAATGGTTTGTTTTCCTTGTTTTACAGATGACAAAATAGCAGCTAGGGTTGCGTACAAAGTGAGAAATTGAAAAGACAAGCGGAATCCACATGAGGAGTTTGTTCTGTAGCTTCTTCCTGTAATGGGAATGAATGTTTTTTTTTCCATCTGTTTTATGGATTATTATTTTTTTATCTTTTAACATTTGGAAATAAAAGTACTTCATGTCTGTTTATCTTGAGCATTTTAAATGGATATCGTGATTGGATTTACATTTGAAACTTGTCGAGTAATGTGTATGGTTTTTAAAAATAAAAAATGTATTTAGCCTAACTGCAGGGCCATGTTTTTCATTTACCATGCAGTATTCATGGGATGTACCACAGAGTTCAAATGCATGTTTCTGCAGTGAAGGAAAGCGAAACATCTTGCACAAAATCTCGGTCTTGAAGGCGATTACACACAAAGGAAGCTGTTTTCTGCATAACTGCACAATTGCCACATGTATTGTAACCATTCGATTATTGCTAATGAACAGAGTATCCAAATGACTGTTACAGATAGCATATACTACAAACACATGAATGTACTAACTGCGACCTTTTATATTTGTCAATTCATATCCAGAGATTATTTAGAAAATGCCTCAAATGGTCTTTCTTTATGCCATGTCCTACTAACATCTGTCCTAAATACAGTACTGCAAATGTAAATGCAAATATTTTTCATATATGAACAGATATACAGTGCTAAAAATATGTATTAAAAGAATTCAGTGAAAGGCATTTATTAAGGCAGAAATTATTTAAAAACATTTTGTTTAAGAGTGAAATGTACTTGATCATACTTCAAAAAGCCACTTGAGCAAAAAACAAACCCAGACTGTATCATACTGTAAGTATTGTAGATATAATTAGGCCTGCCACTGATCCTATTTATATATATAATTGAACACACAGTTGCACCAAAGGTTTGGTTAATTCTGTGTTTGTTTCTGCTTTTCTTGCTTAACTTACCTAATTGAAATCGGCGGGTCTCAGCTATTTTTTTTTCAGGGCTGAGCTTTTAAAAAATGTAATTAAGGATTTTATTAATATTTAAATTTCCCAACTTTAACTTCCAATGTTGCTCTTCTTCAGGGCTTCAAAATTAATATTTAAAATGACCTAAACAATTAATTAGATTAACATAATGATTTCCAATACATTTTCAATAGATTATCTGCCTATCGACTAATCGATTTAGAATTACAATTTATATGTAGACATATTGATGGGACATAAACAATATGTGTCGTTGCACATCCAGACCAGCAGAGGGCAATAGACTTCTCTCCGCGCCTCTGCCTGTAACATTTCATACAAAGATTGCCTCCTGCGAAGATGACTCACTCGGCTTGCTCTTCTTACAAACGAGTGACCGCAACCGCAACAAAGTACGCCTGTCTGGAAGGGGGCGGAACCCGACAGCAGGCGGAGAGTGAGACGTCTTCGCTTTTCCACCCCTCTCTGTAAAGCGTCCGTCTTTTCCGCTCCGCAGGAATGTATGGATCCTGAACACTGGGCGAAAGGTCTACTAGTGACAGCTCGCAACATTTCTGTAAGTACTGCAGTCTGCTACCGTGCGAGCCCGACACAGAACACACAGCTAATAGTATAACGAGTCCGGAGAGGGAATGGAGGCGTTTAGTTGCCGTGAGTTGTTGCGTTTCCCCCTGAAAACGACATTTCTTTTGCTAACTTGCTGGAAGGTTTTAGTCGTATTGGAGTGACAGCGGTGTCAGCGGGTTATCTCAGCTGTTTGTTGGTCAGAGAACCTTGCACAGATGCACATGAGTTTATCTTCTTGTATAGCAATGCAGTCTTTAAAAGAGGAGGTGGCCTTCTGAACCCCCCCCCCCCCCTTAATCTCTGACACTGGACTGTTATTTTGCCTTGGTCGTCCCCCAGAGGCAGGAATGAAGACTCCCCGACCGCTGAGCTCAAGATGGAGAGAGTGGTGGGTCCATGTTGGGTTGATCTGCATCCCGCTGGTAGCCGTTCTACCTGCACAATCCCGCCCCCCCAGCTGTCACCTGCCCTGCACAAGTGGCACAGTGCCGGGGAGCTGTTCCACTTCAGGGGCAGGGAGATCTTCTACAGAGGTAAGAGAGGGCCTCTGCCTCAGCTACAGGGGTTCAGTTACCTCCAGGGTGTTGTAATGTGACCGGGGGGGGGTTCAGTCATATCACATGGCCTTCATCAGCAGATTTCTCATCAGTTCTGGCTCAGACGTGCACACTTCGAAGAAAGCTCAAGAACAGACACTAAATGGACCCTGTGGTTTCTCAGTGGCTCCAAGGTCAAGAGTTTCACAACGATGTAAAAGCAGCAAATCCTCACATTTAAACAAAACAAACTGGAATCAGCCCTGTAATCAATGAACTGATCAATATTACCAATATTATCATCACTTTCTTGTTGCTGCAGTTTACAGTCCCCCAGCATATCGGCGTATATAACTGCATACGTTGTTGTATTATTCCTTTTTGTATATGTTTTTCTATAAATGTAATTATCTTTTTCTGTGTGTGCAGCATTACTGCCAACTTAGCTGTACAACCTTGTGTTATATAACGCCACATTTCATTGATCCCTGATCCTGGATTAGCATTTAATTAAAGCAAGCAAGCAACTGACTATTCATGTGAGCATTAAGTGGGACTGTTTAGAGACCTCATCGTACACAATCTTTGTTTTTTTTCATCGTCACACACCCCGTCAGTCAACCCCAGCAGCAGTAAAACATGCAAAAATATGCGTTTGCCTTCTTTCACCACATGCTGTTTGTTTATTTGTGCGTATCTCACATGCGTTTCTCTCTTTCCCCCTCACACCAGATTCCTATGGTGCTTTGGGAAGCTCCGATGTCGTCATTCTGCTCCACGGCTTCCCCACCTCCAGCTACGACTGGAACAAGGTACCCGCTGCACACACTCAGTAGCCGAATCGACACACACACAACAGGTCTCTTTGGCACCTGCTAGACTAAATTTGTGTGTCCCCCAACCCCCCCCCATACAGATCTGGGAGCCACTCACCCAGCGCTTCCATCGAGTCATTGCACTGGACTTCCTGGGTTTTGGCTTCAGTGACAAGCCAGTGAGTCAAATTTGTGTATTTGTGTGAATAGTGTTTACTTTATAGATGAATGTATGTTTAACTCTGTTTCCTCACTTACCCATAACTCCATTTCCTCCTGTGCCTTATCATCCCAGCGACCCCATAGGTACTCCATCTTTGAGCAGGCCAGTGTGGTGGAGGCCCTCGTGGCTCACTTGGGTCTGAGCAACCAGCGAGTGAACCTGGTGTCTCATGACTATGGGGACACCGTGGCCCTGGAGCTGCTCTACAGGTACGTACTGTATGTGTGCCAGTGTACGTATGCAAATGATCAAAAACAGAGGAAGCAGATGAAGCGCTAACCACTCCTCCCTCTCTCCGTGTTGCTGTTTCTCTGTCCGGCTTTCCAAACCAGGAGCGACCAAAATCGCACAGGTCACCTGACCTTTAACAGCCTGTGTCTTTCTAATGGAGGTACAGTGCAGCCTGTTTCCTTCGGTCACGTTGTAGATAGGAGATTTGTGTGCACCAACAAGCAGGGATTTTACGTTCTGTAATCAGTGAGGTAGAAAAATAATAGATATTTCTTAACGAGAACTCTATTTAATTTATTCCATTTAATTTAATCCATGCAATTATTGAATTAATAACAATATAAGTTATTTTTACATACATAATGAGGATTTTATCTCCTTTATATCATTATAATCTTAAACAAGCATTTTGAACACACTCACTTTTTGTTCTGGGAATAATTAGTTGCAGCCTAACCAGCACTCACAATTAAAGCTAGGGTAGGTAATATATTTCAGAAGCATATTCTCTTTATATCCCGACCAAACAAAAATCTGAATCTGTATTTTAGAGACTAGAAGTCAAAAATACCAGCAGATGTTTGGCATTTTTGATTTGAGCAATTTAACTTATCAAAATAATAATCAAAATAATCTTATGACCAGGCACTTATCACTTAATCACCTGTCCACCTCAACACTAATGTACAGAGTGGAATCTGTGTGAAGTGACGACATTAGAGGTCTGCTTCACTGTAGGGTGGAAAAACAAATCATTTTCATTATAGAGGTCCAAAAACAAGTTCTGTGTAGCCTCTTTCAGAGCTTTGCTAAACTCTAATTTTAATAAAGATACGCTGACAAACATTTTTTTGGGGAAAAAACAAAACAAGGGTTTGTATGGAAAAGTGACAGAATGATGAGCTAGTCAGGTCACTGGAGAAAACAGAAAAAACTGCCTGAAACACTCTTAACTTTAGATGCAAATTTACAAGTTAGACATTCAGAACAGAACGTAGAACAATAAGAATATGTACTGACTATAAAATCCCAACAGAGGATGATTTGTAATACTTCTAGGCCACCAGTGATATGCAGATAGACAGAGTGTGTGGGCTGTCAAATAAGGGCTGACATAGATTGATC